GCAAGGCACCCCCTGCTCTGGCCTCACGCTCCGTCACGCTGCTGATGCCACGTGCAATACTGCTCTTGTTTAAGACCTCTCCAGTGGGTCTGTTCTTGACGATGCCAGTCCCCATGCTCATATCGATTCAGCGAAGGACTGTGATCTTGCGGACAAGCAATACCGCCGTCGGGCGTTGGAATGCGTGCGCTGTTCCTGCGACATCAGCAGCGACTTGTTCACGTTTTTCGCGGGGTGTCTTCAAGCATTCCGAGCGTGATTGCGCGTGACATCGCACAGGCAACACTGGCGGCATTCATGAATAAATAAATAAACAAGCCAAAACGCTATCCCGAGAGCATGGCAAGGTGCTATCTTAGCGTGGCGAGATGTTAACTACTTCGCCTGGCATACAGGATGGTCGTGGCTTTTATCCCGACCCTGACGCCTGTTGTATATTTGAAGTTTGCGTGTCTCCCTCTCTCTCCGCGTGGTCGCGTGGATTTTTTTCCTCCGTGTCCTCCAAGTTTGTCCCCTCCACATTTAGAATCAACATGCCTTTAAGAGTATTTGGCTGCTTATAAATGTCCCCGTGACACAACCACTTCGTTGAGCTATCATTTGTGATGGCCAGGTCGCTTCTGAAAAAGAGCTGCTGTATTGAGTCTTACCTGGTAAAAAAAACAAACACTGTATTTTAGAGTTGTGAAAACGAGTGCCCTTAGGTGACACGTGCTCTCCCTAACGGGCAGAAGTGCCCCCTACACCCCGTTCGCTCCCATTCAACGGCCATTCGGCGGCGTGGCTGGCGGAGCGCACTGCGGTTAAAATAAAAAAAAACACGATCACTCCACAGCCAAAGCAACTCGAGACTTCCGTCAATAACGCGGTGACCTTTGGGGCATTAATGACCCTGATGATGATCCTTCAAGCACATTCTTCGCAGTATAATTAGCGCCACCACGGCCAGCCCAAAGCCATCGCCGCCTTCCTTTTCGCCAGATCCACCATCAGTTGTTTATTCGACTGATGACACTGCTGCTGGACCTCTTTCGTCTCAACCCACACGTGGAGATTTACATTGAGGGGGTTTTGACGTGGGACGCTCTGCACCCCCACCCCCTCGTGTTAAGTAGTGCCCCCCCCCCCCCCCCCCCACTTTCTGCACCCCCACCTCAATCCGTTTGGAATTGATAAAAGCTACCATACTGCCTCTACTTGACTACTGTGACATCGTGTATAAATCAGCCCCAAGTACTGTACTGAAGAAGCTTGATTCCGTCTATCACTCGGACTTAAGATTTGCATTGAACTGCCCATATAGGACTCACCACTGTGATCTCTACATTGGGTCAAACTTAACATCTCTTAATGTTCGACGGCTTGTGCACCAGATCCTATTTATTCACGATGTACTTACAAAAAAAATCTGCAGACTACCTACTGGTTCTCCTCTCTGTTTCAAAGAACAAATTTGGCCTCAGGTCTTCGGTCATTTACCAGCTTCACATTCCCTATTGTCGTACAAAAACCGGAGGAGGGGTCTTTGCTATTGATGCCCCCAGGGTCTGGAATGCTATTGTCAATAAACTGCAACTTGAATCACTACCTATGAGAAACTCTTTGGTTTTATTCGGTAAAGTCACGTAGGTAAAATAAAATAATAAAACCAAAGAGTAAAATAATAAAACCAAAGAGTATGGATCCTTGCAGTCACAAAATCTGCAAATCTACCTATGAGATCTTCACTCAAAACTTCTCTAGAGGAGTTGTACACCCCTAGCTTCCACTGCTATTCAGTGGCCTAAAATAAAATAAAATGTTTCGCTCCGGATGACCGCTGCAAAGTATTATCTGTATTTTGATTTAGTGTGCTGATCTTAAAGGTGCATTGAAAAATGTGATACTCCGACTGATGCTCCTGTTGTTTGTGGAGTGACTCATGCAGCCAACTGTGGCTCTAGGGTTTGGTGTTACATGTTATTTATGTAGTTTATTGTTAAAAATTCGGTAACAGTCCCTATGATCACTGTTACATTGCATTTATGGCTTAATTTTGGTGATTTCTAAAAGTTTTTTGTTTTGGCCATGTTTTTGTTTATTGTAGTACGGAGTTAGACTGATGGCCTTAATCTAAGTTGTCCTGTGGTTGTTGTTTGACTTGCATCCCACTGGGATTTTTTGCACACAGCGTTGGTGTACGGTGCTTTTTTCAGGAATATTTTGCAGTTTTTTCCTGGATTTTCTGTTTTTGTTTTTTGTGTGTTGCGGTTGCACCCGATTCAAGAGCCGAATGGCTCACAGGGCTATACCAAATAAATGGAACTTGAACTGGAACCCCGGGGGGCCCCCAGTGTACTGTGTGCTTGAGCCTTGGACGGTGACCCTAGCTCCTATTTTTACACGCGGCAGTAGAACCCCCCCCCTACTCCATTCCTCAATTTAGACGCAGCCAATTCAACGTGCAGCCTGCTATGAATTGCCAGGCGCCCCGGAGACGACGGTCACGTGATGGGGCATGATGATGTCACAGCGAGCCAACTCTGCAGCAGCACATCATGCGACCCACGACGAGCCGCATTCCCGTCAACCCACGCGGTTTGCCCCGTAATCCTGTACAGGGACATCGAGTTTTCAGGCCCATACGGCGTACAACCGTTTCAATACGGACAAAATAATTGTCAAATTTGTTTGTGTTTCTCCCTGGTGATGGGACTTTGTTGCCTCCAATGAACAGTCTCCGACGTCAATAAGGCCACTACACATACAATGAAACAAGAAAAGGTAACAAAGAAAAAACACACTATTAGACATTATTGTAAAAAATAAATGAAAAGTCCTTCCCATGTGTTAGTGAATTTTTTTATATTTTAGGCAGGAAATGGCAGGAAATTCGTTTTCAAATTTGGATATTTTTTTTCTGGGGGGTGGGGACCCCTAGACCCCCTGGAAGATTTGCCCCCCCCCCCAATGTTGACTACATGGCTACGGCCTTGATTTTAACAGGTTACATTTCCCACACTAACACTCGACGTTGCTGCTATGCGATCTCCCATTAACACGGTAATCTCTCCCATTAACATGCTAATCTCTCCCAGTAACATGATAATCTCTCCGATTAACATGCTAATCTCTCATATTAACATGCTAATCTCACATGAACATGCTAATCTCTCACATTAACATGCTAATCTACCACATTAACATGCTAATCTCTCACATTAACATGCTAATCTCTCACATTAACTTGCTAATCTCTCACATTAACATGCTAATCTCTCACATTAACATGCTAATTTCTCCCATTAACATGCTAATCTCTCATATTATCATGCTAATTTCTCCCATGAACATGCTAATCTCTCCCATGAACATGCTAATCTATCACATTAACATGCTAATCTCTCACATTAACATGCTAATCTTTCACATTAACATGCTAATCTCTCACATTAACATGTTACTCTCTCACATTAACATGATAATCTCTCACATTAACATGCTAATCTCTCACATTAACATGTTAATCTCTCACATTAACATGATAATCTCTCACATTAACATGCTAATCTCTCATATTAACATGTTAATCTCTCACATTAACATGTTAATCTCTCACATTAACATGTTAATCTCTCACATTAACATGATAATCTTTCACATTAACATGTTTATATCTCACATTAACATGTTAATCTCTCACATTAACATGATCTCTCACATTAACATGCTAATCTCTCATATTAACATGATAATCTTTCACATTAACATGCTTATCTCTCACATTAACATGTTAATCTTTCACATTAACATGATACTCTCTCACATGAACATGCTAATCTCTCACATTAACATGTTACTCTCTCACATTAACATGTTACTCTCTCACATTAACATGATAATCTCTCACATGAACATGTTAATCTCTCACATTAACATGTTAATCTTTCACATTAACATGTTAATCTCTCACATTAACATGCTAATCTATCACATTAACATGCTAATTTCTCACATTAACATAACTAGCCCCGCCCACTTCGTTTATGACCCTTGGGCTACGCCCATTTTAAACCTTTTAAACAGTCTGCTTTAGCAGCTTTCCCACCCTCGTTTTTTTTCTCCTGATGACGAACGCTTGTGTTGCGATCGAAACGTCGGAGTTTTTATTTTCTTTGTACCATATCTACGTGACTTTACCGAAAGACCCAAATAATATGAATCCCTGCAGTAACGAAAGCTTTAAGTCTGCCTATACTGTAGTTCGCATTGTATCCTACGCACAGTCTCGTTCCTTGCAACGCACCCTGGAGGCGACTTTGCACGAACAGTTATTCGCATAATCACGTCGGAACATCGAGCAATTGTATTGCAAGGCAGGATCGCGAGATGTGGCAGAGGGAGTTTGGGCAAGCCTTCATCCAGCAGTAGGATTGACCATAGCTGACGATGACGAAGAAAATAAAATGGGGATGCGGCATTAATATGAACCGATCGATAATCGAAAACCCAAACGCATTCATCAATAACACCGTGTGGCCTAAAAAGGGGGAAAACATTAAGAGGCAACGTTCCGGGGCGATGGCCCTTCTTCATAGCAGACGAAGTGTCATCGCCCGAAACGTTGCCTTGTAAAAAAAAAATCCCTTTTTAATTCCTCGGTGTTTTTTTTTAAATATACAAATGTTACCAACGCAGTAGCAGGAGCAGCAGCAACATCGCCACCAAAATCATGAAATAATAACACGCGCCTAACTTGAAAAATACACGGGCAGTCAATGCCCCCAACCCACCACCTCCCCCATAGACCACGCTGCAACTCGTACACTTAACAAGCACGTTCGAGACGCGAGTGGAGGCGGAGGGGGTGTGGCGGCGAGGACGAGCCTCCAAATCGCGACGCGTCATTGGTCAATAGGGCGACCCCCCCCCTCGCCCGCGGGGCGACCAATCGGGACCTCGGCTCGCGCTTATCCGGGTTGGGAAATAGAAATTGGTGGGGGGGGGGGGCTACCACGTGCTTAATGCGGCGCGCATATAAAGAGGCACGGCGATTCGCACTCGGAGTACGCAGCGTGGAGGATATTAGGATAGCAACTAGCAGCCACTAGCAGCCACTAGCAGTCACTAGCAGCCACTAGCAGCAACTAGCAGCCACTAGCAGCAACTAGCAGCAACTAGCAGCCACTAGCAGCAACTAGCAGTCACTAGCAGCCACTAGCAACTCATCCGCGGCCACGAGCAGCTAAACCAGCAAGCTATCCAGCAGCGACGAGAACCACGAGCAGCGAACAACCACCGGCGGATAAACAGCCATCGTGGCAGTAGCTAAACCAGTCGCCAACAAGCCGCCGCGAGTTTAACCAGTCGCCGGTCCCGCTACACGCGCTCGGCGCTTAGCAGGCTCTCGGCGGTCCTTGCTTGCAGGCAAGGGCGAGCAAACGGTCGCGCCTACCTGCCTCGCACCTACTACCTGGAACGTCGGGACGGCAGCGGGAATGGAAGCCAGCAGTAACGGCGTCTCGTCCCCAGCGCACAGCCACAGGCGCTCCTCCAGCCAATGCCTCCGCCGCTTCCCCAGCACCAGCAGCCTGGAGCGGGAGCCCGAGGCGCGGGTGCTTGTGATCAACACGGGCGGGACCATCGGCATGATGTACTGCGGCGACGGTGAGGAGGTGTGGGTGGCAGGCACATTCACCACTGCGGCACGCGGCCTCGCCGCGGGAGCAAGCGCACGTTGCACCGCGTGAGCCACCTTGTGTGCGTGTGTGTGAAGAGCACGCGTGCTCACGACGTGGCGCAACGTTGCTCGCTGCGTGTCGTCCTTGCGGATTGTGAGCGCTGTGGCAGATTAACCTACAGGTTACATAATCACCCTACACACGCCGTGTGTTGTCATCGTCAGCTCACAAGGCCGTGTGTTGTCGTCATCATCACACCACATCATCATCACACATCATCATCACACCACATCATCATCAGCCCACAGGCCGTGTGTTATCATCATCACACCACATCATCATCACACATCATCATCACACCACATCATCATCAGCCCACAGGCCGTGTGTTATCATCATCACACCACATCATCATCACCCCACATCATCATCATCCCCACAGGCCGTGGTTTTTTTCCGGGACCTCGTTTAAAATCCGCCACAGTGTGGAGGGCTTCCACCCTGTATGTACTGTATTCTATGTCGAACTTTTTTCGCACCGTACGTAGCCAACCGTGTTAATCGGATGCGAGGCTGGGGGGGAAAGACCACAAACTAAACGCACGCAAAGATATGAGTTTGTCAGTACTCGACGATTATGTCGATGGCTACGACGACGACTTAAAAGTGCCAAAGCACCCCCAGTGTCGAGGAGGGGGAGAGCGTTCCAGACGGGCCGCAGAAGAAGCGCATCCTTAAAGCGCGCGCGGTGCGATGTGATGACGAACCCCCTCCACGTACGGGGGGGAGGAGGTGATGGACAGAATGTTGTTGTGACCCCAGGGTGGGGTCTCTTTATACTCGGGCGAAGCGTGTAACCGGACTGTGTACACATTTAAGTGCGTAGTGCTGACCCAATGTGCGTTAGATGTATGATGTAATACCCGGGACATATGTGCCTACCGCTTAGGGGCCGCCCATAAATGACGTCACACACCTGCGGGAGGGGGGGGGTGAGAAATGTGACGTCACATCAAAATGCGCAACTTTAAATAAATATAGACAACACGTTCTAACTTAATTAAATAGACTTTTTAATAAATGTTTTCTCCTACAACATCAGAGTGCAGCGCCACATTAAATACGCACTACTATGACGATAGTTTAAAGCGATTTGAAGCATGTGTTATTTTTTTGGGGGGGCGGTGGGGGGCAGAGCTTTGTGACGTCATTTGAAGTGGGGGGGGGGGGTCTGACTTTTTGTGACGCCGTGTGACGATGGGGGGGGGGGGGGGTCAAAACTCGTCCAAAATCGCGTGACGTCATTTATGGACGGCCCCTTTACGCAAGTGGTCAAAGACCTCAGCCGTGTAGCCTGTAACGGACTGTAGGGGCAAGTGCTGCTGTTAGCGAGTAGCAGCAGCACCTGTGAAGGCCGGCACGGCGCACGAGGGGGTGGGTGACCCAGCACCGCGCCCGGCCGCCTTTGTCTCCCCAGTTGGCGATGTTTTACTACACACCGCACCAGGCGACTCATTCGAGGCCGAGTAGACCTCGGGGCAGTTCGATTCCCGCTCTCGGCCACTAAACATCGTCACCGATCTTCTTTGGTTCTTTCGGTAAGGTCACGTAGAATGAGAATAATAAAATAACACAATAAAATTCTCACGACGTTTCGGCCACAGCTTAAAGGACGCGACCTGGGCTTGGCTGTCTTCACTCCGACGCTGTCCTCTGGACAGTCCGGTCCCTTCACCTGATGAAGGCCACTTGCGTTGTGGCCGAAACGTCGTGAGAATTTTATCGTGTTATTTTATTTTATTATTTTAATTCTCATTCTACGTGACTGTACCGAAAGCACCAAAGAAGATGAATCCTTCATCGTCACCGACGGTTTTTTTTTTCGTGGCCGAGAGCGGGGATCGAACTCTGGTGCGCGCATCGCGTGAACTACCGAGCCGCCGTCGTTCCTGTGCACCTCCAGCCCTGTAAGCGGTGGGTAGCACGGTCCAAGAGTGACGGGGGGGGGCACGCCTCGTTAAGGGACGGCCGCGGAACTGAATCGTCGTGGCGATTCAAGAGCCGAATGGCTCACAGGGCTATACCAAATAATTTAACTATGAACTAATTTCAGCCATTGTTATAGACGGCGAAGACGCGTGGATATCCAGCGATCGTAAATGGGACCTCATGTAAACGGGGTGTGTGTACCTGTCAAGGGGGGCCGGCCATAAATGACGTCACGCGATTTTGGACGATTTTTTTTTACCCACCCCCCCCCCCCCTAGTCACGGCGTCACAAAAAGTCAGACCCCCCCCCCTGAAATATGACGTCACAAAGCTCTGCCCCCCACCTCCCCCCCCCCAAAATAAAACATGCTTCAAATCGCTTTAAACTATTGTCATTGTAGTACGTATTTAATGTGGCGCTGCACTCTGATGTTGTAGGAGAAAAGATTTATTAAAAAGTCTATTTAACTAAGTAGAACGTGTTGTCTATATTTATTTAAAGTTGCGCATTTTGATGCGACGTCACATTCCTCACACCCCCCCCCCCCCCTGTCACAAATGTCTGACCCCCCCCCCCAGGTGCGTGACGTCATGTATGAACGGCCCCAAACCCCTTATCAGTGCCCTACCTTATTACAGACCAATTCAGACCTTTATTGGTCACCCCCGTGCCCTTATAAATCTCAACGTTCGTCCTACAAAGTCCCATCACAAGGGAGAAACACAAACATATAGACAAACCAAACGTTAAATTTTGATTTAAAGCTTTCGTGACTGCAGTAATTCATACTCTTAGTTCTTTCGGTAAAGTCACGTTGAAGGGAAACAACAAAATAATAAAATATAAGAGTATAAACCAAACGTTTTTTACCGCACTGAAACGGCAGTGCACGCCGTATGGACCAGATAACTCGACTTCCCTGGACAGGAATACGGGTAACCCGCATGGCTTTGACAGCGGAATATGCAGTAGGATTTCTGTAACACGGTCAAGATAAGGGGGCATTAATTTTAGCTAACATTGCATTACAATCGGGCTGTTACTGGAACCCTGTTGCGAGTGCACTGTTTATATATATAGGTAAGACGGTTATGAATGATGCAGGGTCTTTATGTGACCGCACCACGTCAAGATTATTCTGCCAATTTACTTTTTGTTGTTGAGAGCTATGCTATCGTGGCCAGAGTATGGATTGCAGTTCTTGACTTTTAAAACTTGGGGGGGGTGGGGGGGTGGGTCGAGAGTCGACCTCACGGATGGTGGAGAAGAGGGAGCTTTTAATATCGTGCACCGGAGTGGTGAAGTATGGTCAGACAACGCTGATGATCAGCGGGGGTTGGATTAATTCAATAGCTGGAAAACAACGTGGCGTTGTGTGCGAAGTGCAGTTTTAAATCTGCACGACATCTTCCTAAATAATTTTGGCGATGAACCACGACAATGCGTAAATAATTAACGTGTTTTTTAAATATATAACAAAAACGTTGCGGTACAGTATATATGTTCAAGCGTTAAGTACACGGTTGGATGTAGGGCTGAACGATTTGGAGAAAATATCTAATTGAATTTTTTTCTGACCGCGATTGCGATTACATTTTTTAAAGTGAAGCTTCAGTTCAACATTCACTGTGTAATAGATTTAAAACATGTGGTGGAGCATTACCACGTGATCAAAATATGAACTGCTCTATATATTCTAATGCAAGGATGAGAACTTAAAATATATGAATTGCTTCCAACATGTATTTATTAAAATGCTTTAATTGAAATGGAGCAATTGAGTTAAATAAATAAAGTTGTAATAATAAATCAAACAATTCCAATAAGAAAGAAATAGGACTTTTCAATGCGCAAAAAAATCGCAGCCTTTGCGATTTGCTAATCGCATTGTTTTAATTTGCGATTTCGATTTGAAATCGATTAATTATTCAGCCGTAATTGGATGCCACGGACTCCGTTGTATAATTTAGTAGCAGGCGAGAGGACGCAATTTATATGCAACACTCTATAGCCCGTTACATACGTGTATCGTTCGTTCTTTGCACAGGCTGCAAGTGTATTGGTGTAAAATGTGCTGCATCCACACAGCCCCCCCCCCGTAAGTTTGCAAGCATAGAGAGCCAACCCATAAATTCAGCTACTCGCTCTCCAGCGTGGTGAAGTATAATCAGACCCCCCCCTCCCTCCCCACCGTGACCGCTAGATGTTAACTCATTCGTCTTGTATGCAGGAGGTCGTGGGGGATCGATCCTGACTCTGACACCTGTTGTATATTTGAGGTTTGCGTGTCTCTCACCGTTTGCCCGTGGTCGGGTGGATTTTTGTTCTCCAGGCCCTCCGGGTTTTCCCCTCCTCGTTTAGAATCGGCGTGCGTTTTTGAGTATTTGGCTGCTGTAAATTTCCACGTGATAAGACACTTCTTAAAAATAACTTTGCTCAGTGGGCTTTACCTGGTCAAATAAAAAAAACATTGTTTAGTTTAGCGTGGGGGGGGGGGTGACCCATTCACTGGCCAGCCGTGGGATATAGATGAAGGGGGCTGCATTTGCACACAAAGGTCATCACAACCTCTCGCCACTAAACTTTTTATTTTGTCAGGTAAGGCCCACTGAGCTATGTTGCTCTTTTTCAGACGTGACCTGGTCACAAATGATAGCTCAACGAAGTGGCTCATCACGTGGAAATTTAGAGCAGCCAAATACTGGAGGCCCCAGAGAAATTCGCGTTCTGTGCCCTCTGTTCATCTCATGACAAATGGAACATTCAAAAACTTTCCTGCACTCACCCAGAACAGACAATGTGGAACAAATAACGAACGACTCCACACGCGATTCACAAATACAAAGGAGGTGGCATCGTCACATGACACAGTTAATCTGGCTCATTAGCCACCTTTAGTGTAAAATGATAGCTGTTGCTCTACAGTCACCATTTTGTCTCTGGCCCTGCCAAGGCAACCGCAGGCGGGACTCGAAATTCAACAAATCTAGGAGCAA